GCTTCTCTGCTGGATCATGGCAGCTGTTTCTAGAGATATAAGCATAACGGTAACATGGTATTTAATGTATGGAGACAGGGGAAAGAAAACTCCCAAGAGAGAAAGGGATTAATGCTCCCAAATTAGAAACTTTGAAGTGTGCTAATATACTGGTAATTGTTAAATCTGCCAATTGTCTATTGGATCAGTTAGTGTTTCCTAGAGGAACAGATTTAATATAAGTCCCTAATTGACAAACATTCAAGTTGTGAACTTTCACAGATAAGAATGGTCTTTGCATTAGGTAGATGCACACAAATCGTGGAACTACCCCATGTGTCTGTTGGACATTGTCACAGTTGCACTGCTATGTGCTCACTGTGCTGTGTGATAATGTATAGTAGTTCAGTATTCAATCAGAGCCCAGGAAGGATGTCCACTTACAAGGAAGTGAGTGACATAGAATTTTTTTATGCTTTGTATTGTATATTTGAGTCAAAGATGTGCAAAACTCACTTTGAAGGATTTATGAATGAATCTGACTTACCAGCATTTTCCCAGAATGGAACTAGTTCATAAGTTTGAGACTTACTGTATATATACATATGCATATATTTATATATGCACATGCATGTACATATACATATATGTGCATACATATGTATGTATATGCATATGTATATATAGTGTACATGCAGTGGTATCTCAGTTTAAAATCTTAGTTTTATGATTTTGGAGATGATGGCTGAAATTGTATTTATGTGGGGAAGATGGTTGTGTTTGTCATCTTACATGGAGTTTATAAATGGAAGCAAAATTTTACCACTTTTCTTTGTGAGCTGCATAGTTTGCAAACAGAAATATTCTTGAATCAAGCTCTATCTATCTATCTATCTATCCACACTTCATCAGAAGAGTGCCTTGGTATCTCATATCCTGCTGCTATCATCTTATAGATATAATTGTATGCAGTATATATAGATATACAAAATAGAAATACAATGGCTGCCTGGTGATTTAGGTATGGGAGAATGCAAAGGGGCCATCTGCATGCTGGAGATCTGAAGAATCCAGTAAAAAGTCTAGGTTTGGAGGTCACTTAAGAGTCTGTTACGAGTCTGTATCACTTGTGGCATATATTTCTCATGTCAGTTTAAGGCAGTTCTATACCCAATTTTTCTCCTGCTATTCCTTTACAAATGAACTGATGCTGTGTGTAAAGAAAATAACCTAGGATATTATTACTGGGAGTGGCCCTAGAACACGTGATAAGCTAGAATTTTGGAGGTGGGTCTCTAGGTGCCCAGTAGACAGTGAGGAACCTGATTCCTCCAATTCTGGTAGCAGATGGAACACAGAGAGTGACTTTGGCGCTGGCAGTGAATTAGGCAAGTACTCTACCATTGACCTACATCCCCAGGCCACAAGTGTGGAGTAGGAGAGTCCACTCGTGGAAGGTGATTTCTAGCAGGTGCAATTTATCAGCCATGTTGGGAACTAGGAGGAAATACTAACTAAAAGAAAAATGTTATTGGATAGTCATTGCACAGTAACATTGGTAAATCAGAAGATAAGGGCATCAGGTTAAAAACCAGTACTTCCTCCAACAGAAAGTAAGTTGGCATTCAGATAAAGTAATAGAAAACATATTTCTAGGCCACAGAGGATTTTGTTCAGGTGACAACTCTCTGGACAAGCAAATGTTTAGAAAGGAGAAGCAGTTCAGAAACATGTGAATATTTCAGCAAGGGGAAAAATAGAGTGTGGAGGGGATTCTGTCAAGCAGTGTAGCTTGTTGAAATAAAGATGATTGTTTTGGTCACACTTTTTCTTTTCCTTGTGTGTTTTTTTGTTTGTCTGTTTGGTACCAGAAGTCAAACTCAGGGCCTTGTTCTTGCCAGACAATTTCTTTGCTGCTAAGCTCTATACTCAGCCTCCTTGTGAGTTTTGAGAGGTTATTAATACACATATTTGCAAATTTCAGTTGTGAATATTCAAATTCATTCACACAAATGAATCAACTGTCCTTCTTTTGTTGAACTATTTGTCATAATTGCTAATTACCCAATTAAAAAGTGATAAAGCTTCTCTTTTGGATATACTAGCAATTTGAATTGTATTGATCTGAATAAATTCCACATTGTTCATGCCAAAACAGAAAATATTAGCATTGTTCTGCCTTTGTTACGTTTTCATATAGAATTAAGGAACTAACTAAACAAAATAAGCATTTTGCCTTACTTTGAACTTCATAAAATGAAAGAAATAAAATGTACTATTTTTGCCAGCTTTTATGTTCAGTATCATTTCTTGGAATCTGTCCTTATTGTTGCATGTAACAGTGGTTCATTATTATTGCTTTAAAGTATTCCATTGTCAAGGAAGGCGATTACAGGCATATATCTATAATCTCAAAACCATTGGGAGGCTGAAGCTGGAGGATTACCAGGAGTTTGAGGCCAGCCTGGGCTACACAGTGAGATCAAAAATTCTTTGAGAAAAGATTTATCTATTCTGTTGATGGTGTCTGAGTTATTTTTAATTGGAGGCTATTATGTGTATATAATACTACTATACCAATTTTGATCTGTGCTTAAATTGTACAGTTGTACTCATATTTTCTGGATAGGTATCTAGGTGGAATGCCTTTTCATTTTTTTCTTAATAGATATTAAAAATTAATTTTCCAAAGTATCTGTACTGAATAGCATTTCATGACAATTTCAGTTGCTGGACATCCTTTCTGAAACCTTGGTATCATTATTATAAAATGGTTTCATTATTTTAGTTATATTGGCAGATTGATTAAGATTTTTTTGTGTAGTTTTAATTTGTACTTTCCTATTGGTTGTTAATCTTGAGTACATTTAAAAAGTTCTTACTGAATATTTGATATCCTCTTTTCTGAGGTGCTTGTTCAAAGTGTTTGTCTATTAAAATTAGTCTGCCTTTTCTTTATTGAGTTGTAGTGGTTCTTTATATATTTGGGGATTTTTCTACTTTTTTATTAGTGCATAGTGGTTATGCAGATGATTGGGTTTCATGTAAGCATATTTGTACGTGCACAATCATCTTTAATCATTTCCCCATCATCACCCTTGCCCCAGAATCCAGTTTAGTTTCACATAGTGGGGTCAAAGTGTGTGTTTTGATCATATTCATACCCCTACTATCCTTACATACTTCCTCCTACATCTTCCCATCCTTTATAAAATAACAGTCTCCTCTGCTATTTTCTTTTGATTTTTTAAAGATTCCACATATTAGAAAGAATATTTGTTTTTCTGAGTCTGGCTTACTTTGCTTTAACACGATTATCTCCAGATCCTTCCATTTTTCTTTATATATTTTGGATAAAAATTATATTTGTCAGCTTTCCCATTGCTAGGATAAAATAGCTGATATTTGCAACTTAAAGGAAGAGAAATTTATTTGGTTCACGGTTTCAGGGTTTTTGGTCCATTGTCAGCTGGCTCTAAGGAGATACCCCATGGCAGAAAGTATGGCAGGGCACAGCTGCTCACTTCGTGATGACTGGGGAATGGAGTACAGAGAGTGATCACCAGAAAGGAAGGGACAAGCACTCAGATTTAATCCCCAAAGCTACACTTCCACCACCCGTTTCCTCCAAGCAGGCCCTACGGTACAAGCTCGTCAGTGGGCTGACTCACTGATGAAGTTAATGCCTTCACAGCGCAGCCAGCTCTCCTGGAGCCTGTAAATTTCTTGGATACATACATATACCTAAATTCTTTTTCCTGGTGACTTTTCATTTTCTTAATGCTGCCTTTTGATAAAGATGTTTTATTTATTTAATGAATTCTAGTTTATCATTTTGCCCTTATTATTAATGCTTTTTGTGCCGAAAGTAATCTTTGCCTAACACCATGTTTTCCACAAACAGCTTTATTACATTCAGTACTTTTACGTTTACATCAACAATGCATTTTGAATTGCTGTGAATTAAGAGCCAAGTTTCTAATAGGTTCAATCCAATCATTTATTTAAAAGCTTTTTTTGCATTTATTTTTATCAGACAGATTGAGCTATAATTTATGTTTCTTATAATGTTCTTTTCAGGTTTTGTTATCTGGGTTATGCTGGCCCCATAAGCAAGGTGAGAAATTTTCCTGCTTTTCTTTACTTAAAAGAAATTTGTGTAAGATTAGTATTATTCTTCCCTGCGTTCTGAAGAATTTACTGGTCAAGCCATGTGAGCGGTTTCTCAAATCAAAGTCCTGCGGGGTTACTGTGACACTCTTCCCGTTATTCTCCAGGCTGCTTCTGTCACCTTAATTTGTTTTTTACTTATTTTCTCAGTCGTGAATCCATTTTGAAACATGAAAGAGACATTTAACATTATTACAGAAGATTTTCATAGGCTGTCTCTGTTAATTCCTGAGAAAGAAATCCTCATGATGGTTTATAATATTAGAAATTATGTGTCATTTCTCCAGAAAAAAATGCAGTGAAATGTATTAAAATGGAAAAAAATAATGTGTACGTGTGATAAGTGTTCTTCTTTTCTGTGCAAAACAAAATAGGAGCACTGTGTCTGTGATCTAAGGATGCATTTGCTTATTTGTTAGATTTCTAAAAATGTGCTGGGACTACTGGGCTGCTGGGTGTTGATAAAAATAAGCATTGTAATTAAACCAGTGAAATGCCACGGCTCTGTTAAGCTGTGAGACTTTTGTTTCAGACAGAGATGACTGTAGTCATATATGGTAGAAGAACAGCGAATGTGGGTTGCCTTGATTTGTAACAAATATCACTACTCTCCGCTATAGGAGAAAATGACCATCTCCATTAATTTTTCAATGTATTAAGTGACTTAGAACAGATTGGCTACTGCAAAGGTTAGAACTTTTTTGACTTTCCTTTGCTCTGCTAATACACTTTAACTACATAGTATAAAATAAACTTCCACCTCCAAACAAAATTAGATGAAGACTAAATGGCATAACAATTTAAATGGTGAGATTATGAATGCAATGATGTTTGGCTAAAGAGATGCTATGATGATGCTTCATGTGGTGTCATATAGCAAGTACAGAACAGACAGAGATCATGTGGACTCCACAGAGCCTGAAGAAACCCTCAGAGGTGAGGAAAATCATTGGGAAAAAAATGAAGAAAACAGCTTTCAGAAAAAGTTCTACAGGAAAAGTAGTTACAGCAGAGCTAATGTGCAGTTTCTGACCCAGGAATATGGAGTAGGGGGTAGTTTTATAAACAAATTAACTTACGGTTTGTGGATTTAAGCAGTTAAATGGACATAACCTGGAAAGGAAGACCAGCATATGATGCAAAGAGAAGTGAATTCACTTTCTTCTTAACAGGGAAGCTGAATAAGCTCTAGTTTGTAAGGAACATGGGCACGTGAGCAAAAAAAAAGAGGGTCCACAAACATGCTAGAAAATGTCATTGAATTTGTCACTTTATGCCAAAAGAATGTTTTGCTATCAGTGTATGTAACTGTAACTCACCTGCTTTATGTGTGATAAAATGTTTGTGTATTCTATTACAGGGAGCTGAACAATGAGGCAGAGGACCATGGGGGGACCAGAGGGATCGTGTTCCAAGAGGACTGATCTTTTCAAGGGAACTTTCTGGTCTTCTGGGTGTCGGAGGCAGAAGCAACCTCACTGAAACTGCAACAAGCCTTCGTGTAACTGTCCTTGGCTACTGTCTACTACCCTGACACAGCAGCCATGACAGAGATTGTTTACCACGCTTCTGAGGGAGTCCACTTGGTTGGCTAAAAGAATTCCATGTGTTTATCTCATATCATTGCCTTAACCTCTAAGGCAGGATTTCCAGCTTTGGTTTTAGCCTTGTTTTAATCCTTTGCATGCTTTAACCTAAACAGATACCCCCCTGCGTCCTGATATCATTCCTCTGGGATTTTCTGTCACATGTTAACATTTTTCAGCTGCTACTGATCATGTTAAACTGTTCCCAGCTGTGCTTCCCTGAGAACTTTAAGGGCTTCATCCAACTGTTAGAGGTGCGGATCCTCTGTGTGGACTGCTTGCCAATCTCTCTGAAGCAGACGCCCATGTGTTCTGCTGTTGTTTATTCTCTCCTGCCTTTTCTCATTGAGTGACCTGAATTCATACACAGCTTTACTTCTGCTCAGAAATGAACCACAAATATTTTCTTCAGCCTCTTAAGATAAATGAAGTGGCAGAGATAGAGATAGATAGATAGAGAGAGAGAGAGAGAGAGAGAGAGAGAAAGAGAGAGAGAGAGCACTTGATACTAGCATTGAATGTGGCCCTGGAGGTCATTGAGCTGATTTTCTTCCCAGCTCTCCTCCTACCCTCATTTGTTGTGCTAGAGACCAGAAATCAGCAAGGACTTTTGGCCATTGATTAAGCAGTACTTGAAGAAAAGGATCACTTTTCTAGACTTGAGGGCAAGTATAGGTAGCTCAAGTCCATTTTTTTCAGCTCTAAACAGTAATTTTTTTTTATTGTTTACATGCTTGAAAATCAAAGTAGATTTAGAAGATCATGCTGGTGTAACAGAGAATGCCTCCGAAAGGAAAAAGGCTTGTCTATACCTTTGTAATTGATTGCAAATAGTGAAGCTTGGAAACTTTTATCATCCTTATTCTGCCTTGCTGATGGGTTCATTTACTGCTCAGTCTGCTGTATGTATGTATCTTATATACCTGCTGTTGTATCTTGAAGATATACTCATTGCTTGAGATATCATGGAGGAATTGCTCTTTGGTTACGCCCTCCTCTCTAACCATAGTAAGAACTTAGTAAATGTTCACTGTGTAGAAGAGAGAAGGAATATTAGGGATTCCTTGCCAGTATCAGTCAAGGGAGCACGGGAGAGCAGAACAGTCAAGGAAGGAAAATATAGTTTAGAAGTATAGGCTAGAAGGTAGAGAGGTCGGATAGTAAAGGGTTCAAAGGGAAAATACATTAAGGTTTTGTAGAGCAGTTGGGGGAGTTCTCTAAGCAGTTCTCCCTAGAGGCCAAGGAGACAGCCACATTCCATTCTTGCTTGTGCATACCACTGATTAAAAAAAACACACACACACACACAGAATAGACTGGACCTGTATTAGAGAATTGGTTTAGAGAGTATTCAAGAGGAAAAATCACCAGGTCCTGGTCTATCTTCCAACAGCTTATTTTCATTCTATCAGTTTCCTGCCTTGAAGCTTACAGTAGCCTTCTAACTGGTTTCTGAGCCTCTAATGACATCTGTCCAATTTACCAGCAACATTACTATCAGAGAGATCTTTCTAGAACACATATCTCATGTTATGCCTTAATGGAAATTCTTCAGGGCTCCCACTATTCTCCAAATTTAGAACCTACAAGACACTTTAATATCTTACCCTGTCTACTTCAGTCTGCTTAATCAATTTAAAAATGTATTTCTCATATATAAACTGAAATTTTGAATCATTTGACCAATGGCTCCCCACTCCTGCTTCCCACCACCCCTGCTTCTTGTAAGCACCGTTCTCCACTATACGTCTAAGAGGTCAACTTTTTTCTGTCTCTGGCTTAGCTTAAGCATCATGTCCTCAAAATTCATCATGTTGCCACAAAGGAAAAGATTTCATTCTTTTTACAGCTGAATAGTTTTCCTTTGTGCATATACACACACCACGTTTTCTCTATTCTTTCATCCATTGATGGACACTTAGGTTATTTCCATGTTTTGGCTGTTATGAATGGTGCTGCAATGTATGTAATGGTGGGGTGTCTCTGACTTACTGACTTCATTTCCCTTGAATGTATAACTAGTAATAGCTTTGTTGGATCACATGTAGTTCCATTTTTATTTTTCTATTAATCTCCACAGGGTTTACCACAGTGGTTGTATTCATTTATGATAGTATGGAAGTGTTCCTTTTTTCTCTAAAACCTTGCACACATTTGACTATCTTTAGCTTTTTTGAGACTAGCCGTTACGATAGGTGAGAGGTGATTTGTACTGTGTTTTACTTTCGTTTCTATGGTGGTGTTAAATATTTTTTCACATACCTGCCGATCATGTCTTTTTTTCCCCCTGTGCTACTGAGGATTAACCTCAAGAGCACTCTACATGGAGCTATATTCCTAACCCGTTTACTTTTTTGTTTTTAAATTTTGAAACAAGTTCATGCTATGCTGTCTCAGCTGGCCTCAAAATTGTAATTTGCCTGCCTCAGCCTCCCAAAGAGCTGGCATTACAGATGTGCACCCGGGCACCTGGATCATATGTCTCCTTTGAGAAATGTCCGACATTAAATCTTTATGACAACTAATCTGAATGCATTTCTTTGCCTTGTAAGTAAAAGATTCTAAACTGAACAGAAAAGAGATAAGGGGGGAAAAAAAGGAATATAAGAAAATAAAAAGCAAAGAAGACTTACTTTTTTACAATACCAACTTCTCTTTTCCCCTAGGCTTCTCTGTTTTTGTTGGAATTTTCTCTGTGCTGTAAAGGAACAAAGAAATCCCTTTTCTCTTTCCTAGTCCTGGCCAGGAAGTTCCCTCGAGGGTCTGATATTCCTCGTCTCCTCCCTCCCCTGGACTCACTCTGGCCGTTGCTCCTTTGCTTTGTCACTGGAGTTACATACAAAAGAATAGAAGTCTCAGGAAACACTGTAAATCTCTTGAGTTAATGTGAAAAAATTAAAGAAGTTAAAAATGTTGGGACCAGTGATATAGCTCAGTGGCACAGCATCTCCCTGGCAAATGCAAGGTCATGAGCTCAATTCTTAGTACTCGCCTAAATAAATAAATAAAAGTGTTAACTATCTCATTAAAATTCATCTATAGTTAATAAGAGCCCAGTTTCAACAGCAAAATTTATAGTAAAGTGTTCTTGGCTTCAGAAAATTGAATGCTCATGTATTAAAGATATGCTTATATCAAATGTCAATGCAACCGCATATATATTTAAGTGTATAAGATAGATAACCATATTACTGAGTTTTGTTAGATCATTGAACAGAACTGTTTGCAGTCTCACTGTTTGAAAGTTCACTTTATATGCTTTAATTTTGTAACTTGAACAACTATTTCTAAGATAACAATATGTAATCTATTAACTAGTGATTTCCTATTGTTTATTTTTTCTGAAATTCTGTATAACTTATACCCTATTTCTGCTTTTTTTTCTTTTTCTCCTTAATAAAAAAATGTCAATGCTATCAGAGAAAAGTTATAAAATAAATGAAATACTATTTTGTTTCTAATTCTGTGCCTGAATTGTTTTATTAGCTGGTTATATAGTTAAAACACAAGGGTAAAATTGATAAGATTTATAATGTCAGAAACAGAAGTCTTATTTATCAAAGGGAATATTTTGAAAAAATGTTTTACCAAAAATTTTAAAAATGTTTCACCAAAATATTTTGGTAATTAATTAATATGCTTACATGAAATTTCAAAGAACTTATGGGAGTAACTTGGTTGTAGTTAGCACAGTGATTAGTATTTTAATAAATTTATAGGACATAATTGAAAATTTATTATAAAATGTGGGATTTGGCATATACTACTTAGTTGTGTGTGGTAGCAATCATGGAAAGATTTTGTTAAAAAAGAAAAAAGTGTCCAAAATATATTTGTACGGGAATGACCAAAAATTCCAAGGGTGATTTTTTGACTTGCTAAATGAAAGGGAGATTCATACTGAACTCTTAAATTTCATTGTAAAAAGCAGAAGTTTAAAAACTGCTAACTATAATTAATGGGTATGCAGTATAAAATCTAGTGAATAATTTGGGGAATTCCATATATCTATCTTTCAGTCTCTCCTTCCCCTTCTTCTTCTTTCAGTGCCAGGGATCAAACCCAGGATCTCATGTGCACTAGGCAAGCCCTCTACCACGGAGCTACACGCCAGCCTATAGGTTCTTCTCTATCAGAGAATTTTAGATGTATTTTCTTTATTAAGAAGTCTATCACTTATAAAATGTCAGGTTATTTATACTCTCCCTTAGAAAATATAACTGGAGAACCTACTCTTTTTCATCAATAACATCTAGCTTCTAAATGTCAATCAGCTATGAGCCATACAAAAATAAAAAGAAACATTTTTCCTCAGATATAAGAAATGTTAAAACCCAGCTAGCAAGAGGAGAGATCACTATAGATCCCATAGGCTTTAAAATATTAATTAAGTAATAGGATTGGGGATAAGCTGAGTAGCATAAGAGCTTGCCTTGCAAAGGCAAGGTTGTGAGTTTGATCCCTTGTACCTACTTCCCCCGCCCCCACCTAAAAAGAATGTGGAAAAGCTCTATGTAGGTCTTGTGATAGTAATGGATGTCAGCTTGAGTAAGAAAATTGACAGCTAAATTGGATTTTTTTTTTTTTGAGAAAGGGTTTCATTGTGAAGTTTGAAGTGACCTTGAACTCATTTTGTAGGCCAGGATGGCCTTGAACTCACAGTGATCCTCCTGCCTCAGCCTCAAGAATGCTAGGATTATAGGAGTGAGCTACCACATCCAGCCCATCCAGTGAAAATGAATCAGCATAGTTCTGAATGTGGCTGAAGGGACAACAGTTTCTTACAAAAGTAAATCTACTCTTAACAGATGGTATAGTCATTGGTATTTACCCAAATGAACTGAAAACTTTAAATTTGCACTTGCATTTATGACAATTTTATAACTGCTAAAATTTGGAAGCAACTAAGATGTCCTTAAAAGACTAGTGGATAACTTCTTGTAATATCCCATTTTGTCATAATGAACTATTATTCAACACTAAAAAGAAATATTCTGTGAAGCTACAAAAAGGCACAGAGGAACAAAACCATGTTAATAAAGAAAAGAAGCCATAATAAAAATACTGCATAAAATTCCAATTATATGACATCATGGGAAAAAATAGGAGGACAATTAAAAAATCATTAGTTGCCAGAGGTTTTAGGAAGGAAGAGATGAACAGGACAAAACACAGCAACTTCACACTTTGAGTATTCCAATGGAGGATTCAATTCCTGACAAAGAGAAAGGAGGAAATTGCTAAAGACTTAATTTATGCTTGTTTTTTGTTCCTCCCAAACATCAATATGTAGTAAATATTTGAGTTGTAACTGTATTTGGAGCAGTATGTTAAGTTTTATGTGCAATCTATTCCATGTCAAAATTATTAGTGTTGGGGCTGGGGATTTAGCTCAGTGGCATAAGCGCCTGCCTTGCAAGCAGGCAGTCGTGAGTTTGATCCCTGATACCGATAAAAAACAAAAAAGACAAAAAAAAATTATTAGTGTTAAAAATAAGAATAAAAGAAAAGTCTAGTTGTTTGTGGTCCTGGAGAAGAGAATATTTTTATTAGTGTGTAAATCAGTTTTCACAGATGAAATGCATTTATACCAAAGACGAGCAATAAATTATTACTCGTATGTAAAGTAGCCAATGTTTCCCATCCCTGAGATAATCGCTTGTTCAAACTAAAGAAAGAATGTATTTCATTGTTTAATTGTTTTCACTTACATCCCAGAAGAGGATCCAAGACCTTTTATTATGATAGTTTTATTTAGATGAATAAAACACGACTGAAGTCTCTATGCCTTGAATTTTATTAAAATATTTTAAATCTCTCTGCATGAGGTTATTTTCTCTTGTCCAATACCAAAAATATATTCTAATTTTACTTTTTGCTTGACAACTCCTTTATAGGAAGAACCTTGATTTCAGAACATTATTTTAAAACATGGTGTAGCACAAACAGGTTTTTCCTCTATTTCTCATTTGGATTTAAGTTAATATTAATACTTTTGAACATGTATTATCACATCAAAAATATAGTGCTACCTGTAAAAATCTTTTTTTTTGGTAGTTATAATAAAACCTTTATACTGCTGAACTATCAAGATATCCCCTGAGCATTTGTTTATTTCTGTTGCTTCTCTGCTTTATATTTAGGACTAAAAGATTTTCAACTGACATAATAATAATGTCGAGAATCCATTAGGTGGCATACATTGTGCACTGACCGGCCATACCGTCATTCTTTTTCATTTTTTAACAGTACCTAGGATTAAACCTAGCTTTCACACTGAAGTATATCTTCAGCCCCTAATTTATTTATTTTTATTTCTGAGATAATGCTTATTAAGTTATAAATTGTCCAAACTGAACACAACTTGTGATTGTCCTAGCTCAGCCTCCCACAGTTAAGGGTGTATACCACCAAGCAGCATTAACTGGCCATTTTTAACATTTATATTTTCTTTTTCCAGGCTTGTAAAATGTCCTCTTATCACTGACGATCTGAGTGCTAACAAATACCTTACCGTAGTAGTTAACACCACAACCATGTGCAGATTCTCGCTACCTACCAACCCAAACTAGAAACAAGGGGTATGGTTGTTTTATGAAACGTGAGATAATTTATATGACAGGGATTTGTGTTTGCAGAATAAGATATATAAAGGTGGACCCAAGATACTGGATTATTAGGAGCTGTCAAGGCAAGCACAGTGAAAAGGCAGAAGCACTTATTTCGGGATTAAACTATGATTCTGAAAAGAACATTTAATTATTACCTTCTCCTTGTGTTTAAGGCACTTCAAAAATGAGCCTTACAGCAGATTTCTCATGTTATAATGATTTGTCTCTGGATCTTTCTCACATATAAAATTGTGTTCTCCTTCAAGATAAGAAACACACTGCACAATTTTCTACTTTACTTAGGCCCAGCCTGTTATCGCTACAAAGTAAGTGTGAAAAGTAACTTCAGCTGATGAATATACTTAACCAATATGCGAATCTGAAATGTTATGGTTAGAGCTTAATTTTCATGGGGCCTGTCTTGACTTGTTTAAGTCCCTAAAAACAAGACCCAGTGCTTTCGCCTCCCCCCACATCTGACTTAAAATAAGCTCTGTGTAAAGAAGTGTGATGCAAGACGTAAGGTGCAAGGAATTGTTTCACAGACAAATCTCTGTGGAATATCAGCTGCAGTCTTATTCAGGGGAGTATTTTACAGGATTAGTGTCAACATTTAAATCAAAGCAGGGGAAACTCTCACCAAAATAGGAGTTACTCATGTCAAAGGCTGCCAAATTGAGCATGCCTTCCCTGTTTCTGTCAGGCAACTCACCTCCCACATGAAAACCACTGCAAATGCCCATGTGTACTGTTTTTGTTAACGTATTTTTAGGGTATGCTCTCGAGTCGGCATTACTGGTAGCATTTCCATTTCCTGAGACACAGGTTTCATTTGAGTAAAATAACAGTGGCTAATTGTGGCTCTTTGTTGAGAATATCTCCTTTAGAAAGTTTTCTGAGCCTCTACATTGAATAGACTAGTGTGTTCTTGGTATGAGATGCAGTAGCACACATGCCAAAGGCTTGCCCTCTTTTTGGGGGGTAGGATTAATATTAATAATGACCGGTATTTATTCGTTACTGTGCCAGTCATCCCTATAAGCACTTTTGAACTATTAGTACATTTGATCCTCTCAATAATCTTTCAAGATGTGTACAATTAATATCATCATTGTACAGAGGAGGAGACTGATACCCAAAGGTGTTAAGTAACTAGTTGTTCAGAGTTGAATGTCTATTCAGGGGCTTGTCTACGATTTAAATACAAGCAATCAACACAATTGATGGAAGCAGGGGTTACACCCCAGACTGGGTCAAAAGAGGAGCAGATGGGAATGAGTAATAATAACCCTGATAATGGACATGCCCGCTGCTTATTTTGTGGCCCTTCAGGTCTACAGAGTGGAGGTATGTTCATGGTAGTCAGAATTGAGCTTGGTGACAGGCAAAGCTGACCAGAGAAAGGAAACAACTTTGTTTTCCCAAAAGTGACCCAATTAGGAAGCACACATTTGGAGGGGAGAAAGGCTAAAATAACATTGTGTTTTATGTTGAGTTTTTTAAAAAAAGAACCACAATAATATCAGAAAGATTTTTCTTCCCATGCTGGTTCATGTGGTGAAATTTTAATAAAGATGCTGAGAGAGCTTTAAAAGCTTTAAGTCAATATTGTGTTTGTATCATTTTCTCCAACAGATGATTTTTGTGCATGAAGTAAAGGCAACAACAACCATTATATAATTCCAAAAATAAACTCAAACATTTTATATAAAATCTTCTTAGGTAAAAACAATGTAACAATAGTCAAGTCTGCGATAGTTAAGTTTTAAAGCCCATCTATCATCCTGTGGGATATTAGATTGAGACACTTATATATCAATTTATTTGAAATAAAAGTGGTATATCATTTTAAGAATTTCCTGTTGAAATATGGGTTTGTAAATATATTTCTCTTTATAGGTAAGATATATAGCTATATTGGTTCATCCTATGCATACTATATCCAAAATTATTTTCAAGATAAGACTATTATAGCATATATGTATATAACTCATAGTAGTATACTCTCACAAACCTACAGTTATCATATCCATCCTACAAGTTGAAAAATCAGTCTTTTACAGAGGATACTGGGGGTACCTCACCCAAATATAATGACAAAGTACTAGTACAAGATTTTAGATCCAGACCCCCTTGATTTCAAATCCCATTTTCTGTTTGTAAACCAGTATTTTTTTTTATACCACTGACTGATAACTTTACCTCCTATCCTGGTTCTGTTCATGTGGCAGAAACTCAACCAATAATATTTACTGATTTATTTGCATAAATAAGCACATTAAATACTGTCAGAATTCCATTTGAGATTAAACTTGTAAGTACCTAAGACTATAAATCCTTTTTAATGCTTATACTCTGTGCAGCTGGCATGTAGTTAGCACTCAATTTGATAAAGGAAGGGTAAGACAGAAAGAGTATGAGGAGAGGAAAAATGAAGAGTTATACCCTGGATGTTTCTGTGACCATGGAGAAAACTTGATATATTAGCTCTAAAAGGTAAAGATAAATTTGTAGTTATCACCCATATGAGAGAGTGGCACCTGAGGCTAAAATCAAGCAATAGAATTATGTGTGGTTAGATGAATAAGATGGACTATGTTAGTCTAGCAGGTGAGGGCATCGGAACCACAGAAGAGCAAAGCTACATTCATCTGTTCCACCTGTTTGGAGAAGCGCAACCACGCTATCTCTGCTCTCAAATCCTTCAAGGCAGCAAGCTCTTCCCCTCCCCTTAAGACTGTTCTGCTCTCTCCTTCTGATGATTCCTTTTTTACTTGTAACTCAGCATGCACCTACAGGAGTAATTAAATAGCCATGGTTGCTTTTACAGAGCCTGCTTGGGTGTGCTCTCTCCTCTCCACACCTTTAACATATTAGGTGCTGAAAACCTGAGCTAAAGTGGTCCTCCCTGGAGGGACTTTAACCAGAGCTCTTGTTGTCTTAAAGAGGCCCCCCTGTGATACTGGCCTTTCACATTACACCCCAGACATTCCCTATCAGCTTCAGATCGAGGAGAGCAGCTATCAAGAAAGAAATACACTTGTGCTTTGCATATGCTGACTGATATAAGTGATCCCTTCTCTTCCAGGTATTCAACAACTAAAGTTTACAGACTAAAACTAGGGGGATAATTGGAGGTAGGGGGGAGCAAAAGTTTGATCCTGGCTTTCCAACGTCAGTGAGTACCTTGATATGAAAAACCGTTTCTATGACTTCCTACAATTTTGGTGAGTCATCCAATATCCTGAACAGGGAGACTGATGGGTTCCAGAGGGCAGGGATCAACAATGTGTAATGTGCCAAAAGACAGTCACCAAGACAGAAAATTCTCCCCTACTTTCACAGCAAGCAATATGATAAAGCAAGACCTTGACTCATCCTGGAAACTGATACTGACAGAGGAGCTGAGAGGCTTTGTATGTGGTTCTAGAAGTAATGCCTGAGGATGCTTATCTGTCCTTGATAGAGAGTAAGAGGTTACTTTTGGTTAATATGATCTGAAATACACAGCAAAAAAGTATAGTCAAAGAGATAGGTAAACTTTTATCATCGGTTTATATGACCTCCAAAGTAGCAGTTAGTTACTCACTAGAGAAGACACAAAAAAGGGATTACCAACTATTACAAAACTAACTTAAAACGGACAATACACCACGATCCTGTCAACTCTACCAGCTGTCAAGGTGTCAAGCCTCAATTCCTGTATACATCACACCCGACTCAATCCCTGAGAACCAAAGACTGTCTCCAAATGTGAGCAACCATCAAAATACTCCTATGAACACACAAACTACTTCTTTTCTAGTATGGGTACAGAAATACACTGAGTCATCACAACAAACATCTTGCTAAATATATGGCCTTCTTCCCTTGTCAAACACTCAATGGGGCTTAAATAGCACCTCAATTTGTCTCTCTGTCTCATAAATAAAAATATATTAAACCATTCATATATGAGGCAAGTCATCCTCCAAAATCAAAGGGCCTTAGAGAACCTGAAAGGAGCACAAGGAGGTATGTGTACAGTTATAAAAGCTAAATGTGTGCACATTTTTAATAGTTTTGCTAATATATCAATGACTATTCAAGATACTAAACAGAAAATTAAAGCTATGTTGTATTCTTTTTAAAAATTTTTTTTATTGGTACCGGGGATTGAACTCACGACCACCTGCTTGCAAGGCAGGTGCTTAGGCTGCTGAGCTAAATCCCCAACCCCTAGCTATGTTGTATTCTAAAACTCCTTGTGGATAGTCATTATTGGCTCTTCCTAGTAAAAATATTTTTTGGTTATATTCACGATAACTTGTTAATTTTATTGTTTGGCTCATGCTTACTTAACTGTTTCTTTGGCCTTGTCTCCTCCACACTGAAATATGCCTACCCAAAGAAGAGCACCTGACCTCTATTGCGGGCCTTTAAATAGACGTCTGGAGAGTGTCTCTGACTATGATCCCTTCAGCCTGAAGTACCCAGAATAGTCATCAGCCCTAGCTCCCTCATGGAAGTTTGGGACACCTCTTCAGAGAGAAAAACATAGACAGCTAAGTTATTCGGTCTTTCCATGACTGCTTGCTACATGACTCACTTCCCCATTGGATCAATATTACCTAAACAGCACATTTCGGAGCTGTAAATGCTGCCCTCCAATGTGAGAAATCCCCTACAAGGTCGTCTACTAGATTGACCACAAGAAATCAAAGGCACTCTGACCAGAACACCCCTCCAGGGCAATGCTTCAAATGCTGACAAACAGTATCTGGCCTAGGTAACACCCACAGCCCAAGATACTCTCAGGCCATGGCCTTCCTATGGGGGTCCACTCTGAAAGTCAGATTGCCCAACACTAACAGTTATCCCTGCTGCCTCTGGGCTACAACCCCAGGGACTCACATCTGGCTCATTCCTAGACCTTCTTGGCTTGACCACCAAAGATTAAAGCTCACCAAAGGCCTCAGAGGCCCCTGGACCATCTCAAAAGCAGAACTTTGAGTAACTCTGGTGATGGAGGGTAAGTCTATTGCTTTCCTGATTGTTAGGGGACCTGTCATTCCACCCTTCTTTCTTTCTAAGGACTGGTCTTTCTGGGCTGATGACTGGTGTAGGCACTGATGATAAAGTTTCCAGATCCCCACCCCCCTATCGATGTCAGTTGGGTCAACACCTTCTCCTATACTCTTTAGTCTTTCTCACCTGTCCCATTCCTCTTTTTGGGTGAGATGTTTTAACCAAGTTATCAGCTACTCTGACAATGCCCAGGACACAACTAGCACTTCTAACCAAGCTAACATCTTCTTCCTTGTCCCCTTACCCCCCTGTGCAGCTAATGTCATTTCTCCTCAACTCAACCTCAGAGTCTGGGATGCCTCCACCCCACCCATGGCTTCATCTCAACAACTGTATACTGTCCTTGTCAAGCCAAACCACCCCTACCCTGATCAATGACAGTATCCCCTTCCTGACATGGCTTTATGGGGACTACAGCCTGGTATTTTTTACTATTGCAACATGGCCTCTTAATCCCCATTGATGTCCCCTTGCAAATTTTCTGTTCTCCCAGTACAGAAGACAGAAAACACTTACACACTGGTACAAGATCTCCATGCTGTCAGATTGTCCTTGCCACACCCTGTGATGCCAAACTCCTGCTCACTCTTGTCCCCCATCCCTCTGTTTACCACTCATTACTCAGTCTTAGATCAAAAGATGCCTTTTTCACTATCACCCTGAACCCTCCTCACAACTTCTCTTTGCCTTCACCAGACAGATCCTGACACTCATCCATCCCATCAGTTAACCTGGCCTGTCTTGCCACAGGGTTTTCAGGGGAGCGACATCACTTCAGTTAGCCCCTGGCCCATCATTTGCTGTCCTTTCCTCTCCTTACTCTCATCTCATACAATACATTGATGATCTCCCCCCTGCCTCACCCACTGAGACAGAGAGGCTCATTCTGCTTTCCATGTTCCTTGAATCTGGCAATGTTCACGGAAATTCCCCAGGAAGGCTGACTTCCCCCGGCATTTGATCAGCTATAGTAAAGAATGCCTTGATCACACACCTACACCCTGTTATGCCCTGAGTTCCAGCTGGCGACATCCACTGTGTACCTTATTGCCACTTTGATTTTCTCATGCCCAGTAGAACAATGAGCTCCCTCTGCTTTCCATGGGAGATCTTCCTTCTATTCTCCCATCCTTTTTAGATGGGAGAATCCAAATCCCATCTACCATACTAGCCTTTCTCCTCAAAAACCTAAAACTTCTCTATTCACCCGCATTGATCCGCTGAGATACCTGGTGTCCAGGCATCTTTTCTGTTTTGCACTTCATAGCTTTCTTTTCCTGTGTTCCTCCTTCGACTTCTCCCAGGTCTTCTTTCCCTTCTGCCTGCACATCCTCTGCCTGACTCTTCCCTGACAATAGATCCAACTGACCTTGACGCTGCCCTCCACCCAGGCAGCCCCTTACTGAGCCTCCTGCTGTGGTCACTGAAGCTGCTTCTCCCCTTCTTCCAGAGTCTCCTGCCAATCAGACACCACCTTCTAACTGTAACCCTCCTTTTCTTACAGTCAAGAGCAAGGCTTTTTTTTGAGCAAGATAGACAAATTGATTTCATTCACATGTCACAGGTACAAAAGTTAAGGTCTGGGTCAGTACCTTTACTGGATCAATGGAAACCTTCCTACCAGGTCAGAAAAGACCTCAGTCATTGTCAATTCCCTCCTGTCTGATTTTATCCCCTGGTTTGGCCTTTCTGCCTCTATTCAATCAGACAGTGGTCTAGACATTCAATCAGACATTGGTCAAATTACCCAGAAGATGCCTAAATCACTTGGTATCTAATAAAACCTCCACACGCTCTACCAGCCTTAATCATCAAAAAAAAAGTAGAGAGAGATCATGACCTTCTCAAGGCCCACCTCACTAGGCTCATGCTCCAGTTCTATGAAGACTGGATTTTCCTACTGCCAGTTATTCTCCCTTATATCTAAACTACCCCCTGGGAAACTATGAGATACAATGCATTTAAATTTTGTATGTCCACACCTTTTTGCTCAGACCAAATCTCAACCAAGAGGTCAACCCCATTAAAGACTGTCTCCCAAATCTACAATAGGCCTGAAAAGAAATATGCTACAGCCCAAGTGGAAGGACCCTTCCTGGTCATCTACAATACCCTGATGGCTGTTCACCTATGAGACACATAGCTCCTGAATAAAACTGTGTTCTACTGATTTCTTGCTTGACTGATCCCTTCTTAGTTGTTTTTCCCTTGCATGTATCTATGTATCTCGCTGCATATTTTACTTGCAATACTGTTATGATTTCAAATCAATTGTCTCGTCTCGAAGAAGAAATCATTTCTCGTGCCCATGCTCATCCTTGCCCTGTGTTCCCTTCTCATCTCTGCACTCTCTTGTCTGGCTAGCTCTCCTGTTCCTTTTGCCACACCCCACAAATGCACACCTGCTGCTCCTCTCAACGGTTCCTGATTCTCTCTACAGGACCCTGCAGTTAGCTCATTCCCTGCTAAACAAGTCCAAGCCTTTCTTACGCAAAATTACTGGCTTTATATCTCCATATCCTCAGCCATCTATAAAGCCACTCTAGTCCTTCCCATGTCTGGGTCTTTACTAAACACACACCACCCTTTGCCGCATCCTGTCCCCCAAGAACTCTCTGTCTCAATTAAGGTGTCCATACCATCTACATGTCCTGCAGGAAGAAGGCATGAGAGACAGTGCCCACCTCCCTTACTCTTTTTCTCTTTGTATCAATAAAGAGACAGGGATGTTATGCCCATAAGGTGATGCCCTTGCTGGCAGGCATGTTAGGAAACCACAGAATAACAAAGCCATGTCCATTTGCACTGCCTGTTTGGAGAAGTAGAACCACACTACCCGTATACCCAAATTCCTCAAAGGCAGCAAATTCCTCCCTTTCCCTTTGTAGCCTTTGTTCTACACTCACTTCCTGAAGATTTCTTTTTTATTTGTAACTCAGCCCAAGGAGTGATTAAATACTCATGGGTGCTGTTACAGAGTGTACTTGGGTGGTCTCTCTCCTCTCCACATCTTTAACATATATAATGGTGCATACCTATAATCTCAGCAGTTGGGAGGGTGAGGCAGGAGTGTTGGGAGCAGGAGCCAGGGGTCCAGCAGTGAACGGGTGTGGGAAACCACACACTGAAGCTGGACCTCAATCAGTTCCTCATCCTACAGTGACCTCAGCCTTCCAGACAAAGCATCGCGCTGATATTAACCTGGGAAAAGCTTCATAACATAAACAATAGAAGTTTCTCATGGGCCCAAGAACATGTTTACCTCCTGGGCTGCACAACATAGAAGTTTCTCACGGGCCCAGGAGCATGTTTACCTTTGCTGTGTGCACAAGAAAGTGTCCTGAAGTGACTTGTACTGCTCTTTGTTTTGAAACATTATAAAAACTCTGTAGTCTTTCAATAAATCGCCTTTTGCCTCCTGAGCAACTGGTCTCCCTGTGTCTTCAGTCTCTCGCCTGACTCCTTCCCCGCGCTGGCCACGGCACCTGGCACTTGGCGCCCGAACGTGGGGCTTGGCGCCCGAACTTGGGGCTTGGAATATAAGCATTCGGAGCGTTTTTCCAGTGGAAGGAGAATCGGGAGTTCCGAGAAGACCGCTGCTACAGAGGACCCGGGTAAGTGAAAAGTGAAAGTAGCAGGGAGTGGCATACACGCAGGGATTGAGAATGGGTAACTCCCCGTCATCAGAACGGGAACTTTTTGAACAAGTTATTTCCTCTTTGTTAAAGAGTAGGGGCATTCCTGTAGCTAAGCTTCAAATTCATCTGTTTGTTGATTTTGTGCATCAGGTTTGCCCCTGGTTTCCCGAACAGGGAACGGTTAATGTTGAGACTTGGAAAACAGTAGGAGAAAAGATTAAGGATTATTATTGTGCTTGGGGTCCTGAGAAGGTTCCTGTGGATGTGTTTCTGATTTGGACTCTAATTAAGGACTGTTTAAAAGGGGACTCTGAGTCTAGTAAATGGGAAAAAAGAACTCGAGAAAGTTTTATAAGAAAAACCAAATCTTCAGAGAATGTGGCATCCTCCTTATACCCCCCACCCCCGCCCTCTGCTCTGCCAACACTCTCTGAGCCACCCTGTTACAAGCAGCCTGGTTAGCTCAGTCGGTAAAGCATGAGACTCTTAATCTCAGGCATGGCTACGTTCGCGGTGGAATACTCCGCCGGTTCGTTTCCACCTGGTGGTTTTGGTATGTGTGTGCGTGATGCCGGCTTGTGAGTTGTGTTCTGAAATGTAAATTTTTTGTGTTTGTCTGTGTCTTCCCTGTTTGTTGTTATTATTCTCTTTTTCTCCAGGATAAGATGGGACAGACAACTTCATCTCCTCTCTCCCTTACCTTAGACCATTGGCCCGAGGTTTGAGAGTGAGCTCACAATCTTTCTCTCCAGGTTAAAAAGGACATGATTAATGATGGTACAGCTGAGAAAAAAAAAATGCCCTCTCCTTGGTTGCCTGTTTAAACTTGTTACTAACTTAGGGGCTTGTTGCCCATTTCTGTTGCAGGATCCATATGGCTTATTAGATCCAAGGTTCATAATAAGAAAAATTATTTCCTTTAGCTCACCAAACTGTGCAAGAAACAACCTTTGTTTGTTTGTGTCTTTAATGTTGTGGCGCCTTGTTTAATATGTAAGTCTTCAACTGATTGCTTGCAACCTTGGCATGCCTTTTAAAAAGAGTATTTTTCTTTCTAGTTAAAATGTAAACATGTGCACATATATGTGTATATGTATGGTTTTTAAGAATCATATCAATTTTACTAAGTGAAAACCAGGTCATGCTGTAATTGAGCCAGTAAAAAGGTTATAGTTTTTTTTTTAAAAACAAAACAAAACAAAACAAAACAAAACAGCATTTTAATATGGCAAAAAGACATAAAATAATTAAATATGATTTAGACTACTAGAAGGTGACTTCAAGGGTTTTGTTGTGAGTTTTAATGTTGTCTGAGAAGTGAGAGAAAAGGTAATTGACTGGTGATAGTAAAAAGGAGGGACAAAGAAAGTGATTCGTCTTCAAGTAAAATGTCTGGCTGTGCCAGAATATGAAAGAAGATAAAACTTGGAGGTATATTGTAAGTTATAGAAAGCTCGAGATGATGTAAATTTTATTTGTCTTGGTTATAGTACTGAAAACAGCAGGTTTTACGTTATCAATATGGTATAACACGGCAGCAGGCACGAGAAATTGTTAAAAACTGTCCTTCATGTGCGCCTCTCCTTCCAGTACCGCATTTTGGAGTCAACCCTCGAGGACTCCGTCCAAATGACATCTGGCAGATGGATGTCACTCATTATCCTTTTTTTGGGTCATTAAAATACCTACACGTTACCATAGACTTTTCTCATTACATGCTTGTCTCACCTATGACTGCAGAAACTGCCACCCATGTAATACAACACCTACTATATTGTTTCTCTATCCTGGGCATTCCTCGATCCATTAAAACTGATAATGGCCCAGCATATGTTAGTAAACCCTTTGCCAAATTCTGTCAGACTTTCCATATTAAACATGTTACTGGATTGCCTTATAATCCTCAAGGACAAGGAACTGTTGAACGTGCTAATCTCTCACTAAAAAACACATTAAAGAAATTAAAAAGGGGGAGATGGTATAAGTATTCTCCCCAAACCCTTCTTAACCATGCTCTTTATGTTCTTAATTTTTTAACTTTTGATGCTTCCAATAGATCTGCAGCTGAGAGACATTGGTCTCCTGATTTGCCCTCCAAGCCAATGGTTTATTGGAAAGACCCATTAACTAATCTATTACATGGCCCTGACCCAGTATTGATATGGGGAAGAGGGTATGTTTGTGTTTTTCCCACAGACGCTGATACACCCAGGTGGATCCCAGAACGCTGTGTACGACATGCCCAAGAGCAAGATAGAAAAATTGCGCAGGACGATGCTTCGACTAACCATGACCTCGAGGACGAGAACAACGACCAGAAGGCCTCCTGCAACAAGAGATGAAACTCTTCTGTTTTTGGCTCAACTGTTAAGCATTATTTGGGTTTTGCATACATTTTATATGCCTGTGTGGGCAGATAATTATTGGGCATTTGTACCTAATCCTCCTTTGTTGCACCCTATGTCATGGGGCGACAACGATGATGTTACTGTTTATGTAAATAATACTCGTATCTTAAGTTTTCCTTCTTCCACTCATATACAACCTATCTCTATTGTATATAATTATACTGGAATGTCTGCTTCATTACCCCTATGTTTTTCTAAAACGAATAAGAATTGTACATTAATAGAAAGATATTCTGATTGGGATGGAAACTTTACTAATGGAATGCACTGGGGAGTAGATATGATGTATGTATTTTGCAACAGCAGTGAAACTAGAGTGGGAAAACGTAATCCCCCTGAGCATATTCCAGAATGTAGACAAAAATACCCAAGCAAAAGTGTATATGGACTCTCACGGCATTTGTGCCATCATAATTATACTATATGTTACAAAGATCTGTGTGATTGGAGCTCTAGCATTTATCGCCATGATAACAATCTTTCCATATTTTGTGAGAATTGTTGTTGGGCAAATGAGAAATGTGCGTTTGGACTTAAAACGTTTTAAGTTAGAATCAACTGCTAATGAAATTCCCATGCGACGCTTTGTCTAAGAAATAAGGGGGATATGTTGGGAGCAGGAGCCAGAGGTCCAGCAGTGAACGGGTGTGGGAAACCACACACTGAAGCTGGACCTCAATCAGTTCCTCATCCTACAGTGACCTCAGCCTTCCAGACAAAGCATCGCGCTGATATTAACCTGGGAAAAGCTTCATAACATAAACAATAGAAGTTTCTCATGGGCCCAAGAACATGTTTACCTCCTGGGCTGCACAACATAGAAGTTTCTCACGGGCCCAGGAGCATGTTTACCTTTGCTGTGTGCACAAGAAAGTGTCCTGAAGTGACTTGTACTGCTCTTTGTTTTGAAACATTATAAAAACTCTGTAGTCCTTCAATAAATCGCCTTTTGCCTCCTGAGCAACTGGTCTCCCTGTGTCTTCAGTCTCTCGCCTGACTCCTTCCCCGCGCTGGCCGCGGCACCTGGCACAGGAGGATATGCAATTGGACTTTGGGATAAACATAGTTCAAAAACAGTCTGAGCTATATAAGGAGATTCTGTCTAACAAAAAAAGAAATATAAAGAACAGATAGAAGTGTGTGTAAATCTGTGATTCAAAGGGTTGCAAATTTAGGTGTGGGGACTTTTAAGTGAAGAGAGCAAATGAAAGGAAACAGCAGCAGTATTGTTAAGTGCCTCGTACCATGTCCAGTTTGATGAAGAGTTGTTTCTCTCTTCTTCCTTCTGCTCTCTCCCTCCTCCTTCTTTCTCTCTCCCTCCTTCCCCTATCTCCCTTTCTCAAACAGAGAAAGAGAGGAGATAATAGAGTCCAAGGCTTTCGTCATGTACAGAAAGCCTCATTCCAATAACAAAAAAATCAGACAATTCACTCTATTGATACCAATGTGATATCTCAGAAGATTAAGCAACAAGAACTATGTATAATATGTATTTATTGTCAATCTGCAACAAAAAACTCTTGATTAAATGGAAATGATAGAAACTGCTGGAGAAACTTGTTAGGTTTTCTGGCACAATAGAGAAGCACAACAAGAAAAAGGCCTTTATTGAGGACGCAGAGAGGTCTGCACACCTGGTGGAGCTGAGATCCTCCTCTGGCCAAAGGTGGAGTTTGAGGCAGGTGTTGATGGCACATGAGGAACTGTTTGGAATTTTCTTTGTGTTCCAGGGAAAGGAAAGAAGAAGCTGTGGATTAGAGAAAAAAATGGCAGCTTGCTAGGGGGCTGGGTGTAGAGTCTCTGCAAAGAAATCAGATCAGATGCTAGAAAATGACAACATGGAGAGGGCTAGACGAATGGATAATGATTCTTATTAACCAAGGTGGTAACCAAAGAGAAAAATAAAACTAGGAAGAGGAAGGAAAAGCGCGAGTGGAAAGCTGAAGCCCGACGTGCTCACTGAGCCCTTTCCGTACTGTACTAGGCACACCCGGACATTCAAGGTCATGCTGAGACTGTGGCTGCTGATAACGGGAGTCCACAAATCCCAGACCCTTAAGGAGAGGACGCAGTGCAGTGAGCAGTGGATCCAAGGGGAAAAGCTGTATTGGCTCTTGGTGACTGGTGAAAATTGGGACCTGCAGCTCTGCGAAGCAGCCGGAGCCACCTGGCAGCACCAGAGGAGACTGCGAGAAGCTACTGGGCTCTGAAGCCAGACACCCCGCAGTTTTCTGACTGATCTGTGCTGTGCTGGGAACTCAGTAAAAGACACGCTGTGCAGGGTGCAGTGGACCCAAGAGGAAGATCTGCACTGATTCCCGGTGAGTGCTAGGGACTGGGTCCCCTGGCTGCTGTGGCGGCTGGAGGACATCTTGGAATTGGGCAGAGCACGGCGCCATGGGGACATCAGATAGTCACTCCTGGAACAGAGAGGTCTGGTAGAGAACAGCTTGAATTTGGGCAGAGACTGATACTGTGGTGACATCACTCAGCTGGCCCTGCTGCAGAGAGAACCGGCAGGGTCTGTGGGGGCTGAACTACACCTCTGGTTGGGACCCAATAAGCAGATACAAAATTGTCATGAGTCTGTGATGTCCACAAGGTACAGCCTAACTTGCAGATTGACTGGCACAGAGGCTAGCCTGCACTGTCTCTGCATCCCTGCCTACCTCAGATAACAGCAAATTGGGGAAGGCAGCAAAAACTACAGTCAGCAAGCTTTAGAAAGACCCTGCACAATACAGAGAGGGCCAGAGACCCCCAGGACACACCAGTCTGAAAGAAACCAGAAATAACACAAGAGATAGAAATTTTTAAAAATCCTCCCGCTGCCAAACCTGGGAAAATAAGCCCAAGAGAAGTAAATACAGAAGAGAACCAGCAGAGTAACCATTCAATACTAGACACAGCATCAATGGACATAAATAAATACCTTCATTACCTCATAAATGAATTTAAAACTGTACTTCTGATCCAAATGAGGCAAGATATAAAAAGATTAATTAAAGAAATGATAAGCCCCTCCGAAGAGAACACAGATGGGAGAATGGAGGAAATCAGAAAAGAAAGAGAAACCTCTGATGAAGAATTTAAACATAACTTAGAATACATGAAACAGATCCAAAGAGATTACCAGGAAACCAAAAACTCCATTTAAAAATGGCAAAATGCCTTAACAGAAACTAAAGTTAGCCTTTTGAAATTTGAAGAGATATTTATGATATATGATCGTGAAAGAAAAGACCTCTTAAAAATAATGAGGAACCAGAAAGAAACAATTCAAAGGCTAGAAGACTATAAAAGGATATATAACTTAAGAATAAAGCACATGAACAAGGAAGCAGGAGTAACCAAAAATGAACTACAAAGAATATTCACAGATATATTAAAGGAAAACTTCCCAAGCATAGGAAAAAGAAATGATATCTAGACAAATGAGGCATACAGACCTCCAGCCACCTACAACCAAAACAGATCTACACCCAGACATATAATAATCAAGATTCCAGAAATCCGCCAAGAGAATAGAATACTAAAAGCAGCCCGGGAAAAGAAGCAGATTACCTACAATGGGAAAATTATCAAAATAACAACAGACTTAGCAACACAAACTCTGAAACTGAGAAGAGCCTGGGGAGAAATTATCCAAGCCCTGAAAGAAAATAATTTGCAACCAAGACTGATGTACCCAGAAAAACTCTCTCAAAATTAATGGAAAAATAAGATATTTCCAAGACAAGGAGGAACTGTGAGGGTTCATGGCCACCAACCCAACCCTAGAGAGAATGTTGAAGGACATTTCAGAGAGAGAGAGAGGAAGGGATACCAGGATTCCAGCAACAGTGGCAGAGAGGCCTCAATGAACCAGGCACACAATGGAATGAGGGCATAAGGTGGACAAATTATAGCAGTAAAGTGGAGTAGCAGACATGAGGCAGAGATGGTAAGCTATAATCTTTAATATAGATAGCCTTGATATACTAAAATTAAAAAAAAAACGGGCAAAGTAGATTAGGAGGCAGGCTCCTCAAGATGCTCTGAATGGGAAATATACTCGGCCTGAAGGAGGGTTAATAAACTGAAAGTCAAAGATGAGAAAGCAAAGCTATGTGTGACAGAAAACCAGAGAGAAATAGGGACAACTCATCCAGGAGCCGCAGATAGACTGGAAAGCTATGACACTTTTGGGCAGGGTAGAACTACACAGCTGGAAGGAAGGAAAACCCTGTGACTTTAGTGAGTAAAGGAGTACAGCTCGAGATCAAGCTCAGGGGTAGAAAGGTTCAGCAACACTCAGACAGACAATGGGCTGGCCCCCTAATGTAAAAACTAAAGTGGCTAGTGAGACCCAAACATACAAAGCATCCTGAGAAGGGGAAAGGTGAAAAATAGCCTAAAAAAGGAAGGCAGAGGTCATTGTTAAAAGTCACAGTAGTCTTATCACTCTCTTTAGTTTGATTTTATTTTGTTCTGGTCTGTCCATTCATATCAGATTTGAGGACACAGATATCTGACCCCAAAATAGCAGGTTATACCATGTTAACTCTCCTTAATTTCCTATTAACATAAACTGAAACCCTGTATCACTTACATTGTCTTACTATGACTGATCTTATTTGAATCTGGTTTGTTAGACTGCAGTTTTGCCTTGGCTGATTTTATTTGAATTTGGTATGCTTGATAGTATCAAGTCTAAAAGTAGAGGCAACTACTCTGAAGATGACAAGATGTAAAAGATATCCATACTGGTTTTGATTATTAACCGCTCTCAAGTCCTACAAAGTTTTCAAAGTTGTGTTTTTATAAAAATAGCTATGTAATACTATGCTTAACTGTATTAAGCCTGATGATGTGGACAAGTCTATTGAAAATAACAAGAGAAAGCATAGTAACTATGGTAGATCACCTACTATTGTAGTCTTACGACTTTTTCATTGTGAGTTTTTCTAGGAATTTGTTTTGCTGTCTTGTTATGATTTGTTTTTCCCTATCATACAGAGAGGATAGATATACATGTAGAAATTCACACATGGGAATAAGTTTTTAAACTATTTACAGGAACAGATTATATAATGCAAGATGTAATGAACAGATACTCTGAAAAAGAAGAGACACTAAGAAACCCACTGCTAATTCTGTAGCATTATGATATAAAATCTAGCAACACTATTATTCACTGTTCAAAGTGACATTAGTCTAGTCTCTTAAGTTCAACTTCAGTATACATAAAGATAAGGACAGCTACTATGAAGAGAATGAGGGACACTATTGTAATCATTATTGTCTTCCCCAATGTCAGATTTGAAGACCTAAAAAGCCTTCATCATCCTGTAATGATTTGATTAGTTCTATAACATGCAGTATGTATTCAATGTGTGTGAAGATGGGGACAACTATTTGGAAGAAAACTAGAGACAATTAGATAGACTATGAAGCTTTCCAGTGGACTTGCTTTGAAATCTGTATTTCTTTAAACTGTTTCTTTTTGAACTGTTTTGTTCTGTTTATTGTTTTATTTTTTTATCGGTACCAGAGATCGAACTCATGACCACCTGCTTGCAAGGCAGGTGCTTATGCCACTGAGCTAAATCCCCAGCCCCTGTTCTGTTTTGAATATGTTTACTGTTACGCTCTTTAAGATAAAAAGCAGGTGTGTAGGACTAATAACCATATTACTAAGTTTTTGTTGGATCATTGAGCAGAACTGTTGGCAGTGTCATTATTTGAATGTCACTTTACATACTTTAATTTTATAACCTGAACAACTATTTCTAAGATGACAGTATGTAACTTAACTAATGATTTCTTACTGTTTATTTTCCCGTAATTCTGTATTATTTCTACCCTCTTTTTTGTCCATTTTTTTGTTTCTTTCTATTTAAATAAAAAAGAAGAAGAAGAAGTCGTAACCCGGGCTGAGGGAAGAAGTAGGAGAAAATGGTCATCAGGGAAATAAATTATCATTTTTGTTTTGGCCTTCTGCCATGTTAGACCACCACC